AATACCTTCCAACAGTCACGCCAATGGTTCAGTGGCTCCTCGCCTCACCGTGCCCTGCAGCGCTGCCATTGCTGCTCATGATGTTGACTTTGATGTGTTGTACCAGCGGGAGCTTTGCTGCCAGCCTGACGTACCATTGCACCTTTGACAAAGCGATGCGTGTCGACAGGACGAAATCGATGCCGGTGGTGATGAAAAACGTGCCTTTGGGAACGGGAAGTGCATCGCAGACATACACCGTCATCGAGGGGAATGGATGGGCACCCATCCGCATCAATGTGTCGACAAGGGACCTGGATGATACCAGGAAGTATTGCAGCTCAGATCGTTCTTACGTGAAAAATTTATTGACAGACTATGACGATTGTCAGGGCGATGCACTTTCCAGTAATAAGAGGAAAGTACTCATCGACAAGGTTGTCCCTGCTGCTGTCAAACTGCATGCGGATCGTCTACTCGTCCAGCCACTGGAGGGTCCGTTGGTTGTGCCCCAATTTGCCGCGGGCAGTGTTTGCAGTCGTTTCACTGTGCCTGCTGAGCATCATACCAAGGGCGTTGCCAATTCTGACATGGTGCTGTACGTGGCTGCAGCGCCGGGTGGTGTGTGGGCACTGCCGTGCGCCACGCTGGAGGATGGCCGTCCAGTCGTTGGCGTCATGAACATTGCCCCGGCAGTTTTATTTCACGGACGCCTCGCCACCCGCATCGCCGCGCACCTGATGGCCCATGCTCTCGGGTTCGCCCACCCGCACATGGCCAGCCGCAGCATGGTGAGGAATGTTACCGGTGTGCGTGGCAGGGCGCTGTCGGTGGTGGTGAACTCGACGAATGCCGCGATGGCTGCGAGGGAGCACTACGACTGCGATGACATTTATGGCATGGAGCTACAAGATCAAAATGGGGACGGGAGTACGCTGGAGTCGCACTGGTCACAGCGCCACGCGAAGGATGAGTTGATGGCACCGATTGGGGGCGCCGGCTACTACACGGAGCTGACGCTGGCTGCATTTGCTGACCTGGGCTACTTCAAGGTGAACTGGGATATGGCGGAGCCGATGGGTTGGGGCAAGAATTCGGGCTGTGAGCTGCTGCAGAAGAGGTGCTCCGAACTGAACCTGAGTAAATATTCCCACATGTTCTGCAACAGAGACGAAGTTGTCGAACGCTGCGC